TCCCAGCACCCTTCACCTATTAACCCCTCTTTCTCCTCGCTCACTCTCCTCCTCCGACTTTTAAAGACAGGCGTCTCAGGAATAGCCAAAACATTGATTTTTGACCATCTCTACCACCACCTCCCCCTCTCCCAGTATCTGTGTCATGGCTCTGGGGCTTCCTGCATGTTACCCCCATCGTGACTGTTGGAGATCAGCCACGCTTGAAGCCCCTCAGAGATCAATGGACACGCTACTGTACAATAAATATACACTCCTGAGCTTGCTAGCTATCTGTAAACCCGCATGTACTTGTACCATACACAATTTGCGCACAGACACACATGCACGTTGCAGACAGAGACCAATGGTCACTCCTTGAGCTTGTTGTCACATTTGCCCACCTCCATTTCCTGGGGTGTGAATGGAGGAATCTAACTCCAGATAGGTGATTTCAATTCAATTCTCACCCACTGGATCTGTTTACGCTTCACCAGGGTGAAATATGCTATAGGTTGTTTTCCCCTTGTCACTCTTGCTGCCACTGGTGTCACATAAAATGGACTGTTTTTATACTGTTTGCAACAGCTCTTTGTAGATTTTGTCAACTGTAGGAAATACAATAAACACATTTTGAATCCTTTGCATTTTTGGCTTTGATGGAGATAGGTGATGGAGAGGCTGACACATCAATGCATTATGCAGGCAGGCCTAACAGAGGATGGTTTGAAAGACAGATGCATGGACAAACAGGTAGTGGGTAGGGCTGTTACGGTATGGATTTCTGTTTTTATGGCGGTGAAAAAGCAACGTATCCCCCTGGTTTTGCGGTTTACCATCAATGTGGTTTTGTACAAACATTTTTAATAATAAATCCAACGCTGAAGCAGGCATTATAGGCAGGTGTATGAAAAAACAGGAGGTGGTTGATTAGTCATTAGTGAGTCAGATTGCAAAAGTTACAATGCAGTTATTTTATACTCCCATTTGTCAAATTGTTACCTGACTTAAGTGCCTATGAATAGGGCACTGCACTTCAACCTTTAGTAGTGATGCAGATGTGTAGGTGTTACATTATTATTAGCTCTGTGTGTGTGTCTGTGTGTGTGTCTGTGTGTGTGTTAATGCACTCATGCACTCATGCACTCATGCTTGCATATGCCACTGCTGGTGTCCTCCAGAACCCCTGTGTCTCTAACTTTGTCATTGTGTATTGTAACTGACAGCTACCATTGTCTGTTGCATGCAGAAAAGGGTTTATGACCTTGTGAGCAAGCCAAAACATTTATACAATGAACTTGTAAAATCCACAGCCTTGTGTTTTTAAAAATACAAGATCCCAGAATGTCCAGATCCACAGAGGCTGCAGACAGACATGTAGTTACTGTTTGCTCATGGTCCAGAAAAAACTTTATGGCATTTAAATACAGAAAAATATGAGCATGTCATTTGCACCTCAAATATGTTTTATGTGCTGAAAATAAAATGGTTCAGGGTTTTTTGTGCATATTTTACAGTTGACATTGGAATTGCAGTATTCAGAAATGAATTGTTGTATTTTTTTGGTCAGTATCTTTGAGCTTGTGTGTATGTGTGTGTGTGTGTGTGCGCGCGTCTATGTGTGTGTGAGCTTTTTTTTTTAAGGAGGGGAGGGTGGATTAAGCGGTGCAGGATCTGTCATGGTGACATTTGTGTCCCCTGGCGGAGCAGCAGGGGTCCTTTTCACCTCTGTAACCTTCAACTTTCAGCCTTAACCCCCTTCAGGCCCCCTCTTGCGTCCACCACACGCCCAGCACGTCCGACGGGAGGGGTATACGAACGCAAGAGAGTGAGAAAAATAGGGGGTGGGGGGCTGCAGGAGTGAAGAGGACAGAGAGCTACAGGGGAGGGTGGGTTAAAGAGAAAGAAATTGTGGTAGAAATCGAAAAAAAAATTAGGCAGGCATGCTAAACAGAGAGAGGCGAGAAGAAGGGGCTGGAAATGAGGCAGAAATGGGCGAAAAAACAAGTGGAATATGTAAAAGAAACGACAGTGGAGAAGAGAAGCAAGAGGCAAAATGATTGGCAGAAAAATGTGGAGGTGGAGCAGAACAGAAAGAATAAGAGCCTGTAGGATAGAAAGGAAAGTGCACACCGGATGCAGCGGAAAGAGGAGATATGAACGATAAAGGAAGGTGTTTGGTAGTGCTCTGAAGTTTTTCACATGTCCTCCGCTGCATGAGTAAAATATTTCTGTGTGTTGTTACAGCTCACTGTTTTCTGCCTTCTGCTCTCTGTCTTCATGCCTTTCTGGCACTCCTCTGTGTGACTCCATACCGGATTGAACATACTGAGTTAACACATACAAAATGTTTGATTTGAAGTTCATTTAGTCATTTGGTATGACGTTGTATCAGTCTATTCCTAGAGCTTTCATACATGGCATACAAGCCCTAAAGAAGGACTATAAAAAGTTATCTCAGTCAGAAGTTAAGTCAAGTTATTTAATTTTACCAACATTTAAAAGTATTTAATTTAGAGAAAGTTGAAACATGGTATAGCAGCAAATCCTGTTTAACCAACAAATATTGATTAAAAGCTTTTGGGATAAAGGATTATAAGATTTCCATCTATTATTTTTCCATTGTTCACCTAATCAATTTATCAACTAATCATGTCAGCATGCTTACTGGGCCACCTGATGGAGTTAAGCCATTGTGCTTTTCCTGCATGACAAAAGTCATAATTTCTGCTGTGAAAAGGATGTATTGTGTTGCAGCCGCTATCTGAACTTGATCTTGAATTCAGTCACACGCTTCCTGTCTGTACCGTCGACACATAGAGCCAATTTATTCAGTCGTTAACATGGACACTGGCAAGTCCCCTATTTTCATACCTATGCACACCTGGCCGATCACTGCGGAAAGTAGGCAGGGCTGCCAAACATTCGACCCCCTACCCCGTTCTCTTCAGCAACTCCGGTCCCTTTTCCTCTGTCCTGTATCACACTCCAGCAGCAGTTCCCATCCTCTCACCCAGTAAATCAGCATAAAATAGCCCTAACTGTGGCAGATCATAGGGTAGGGAGAGGGTGGGGGGTGGGGGGCGGGGACGGGTGCTCGGAGTTTTAAAAGTGTAAAGCTTTGAGCTCTGCTGCCTTTTTTTTCTTTCTGTGCCACTCTTTTCAAGATGGGGCCCATGAAATTATCCAACAGGATTATGTAAGGCATGATGGATTCTGCTGCGTCCTGCCATCCGTTTGTCCATTGTGTGCCTCTCTTTCTCAGACAGCCTGGTGTGTTAGCCACGAAGCTACTCCACACAATGTGTGCATGTAATGCCACTCTCCTCTGGCTTCATAAATGTCTACATTAATCTTTTGTGGGCAGGAGCACACCCAAAAATAGCCCTTATTAAAATGGTAATACATCTGTCAATTCAGGGACTTAATCAATCTTATAGTTTATACCTGTTGAACTCACTGTAATTGTTTTTCTATGCTATCAAAAGGTTTGATGCTTCCAGATTGACTTTCTCTCAGCGGGCTTAGTTAAGGCAGAGGTGGGGGTGTGTTCATGAGCCTGTAGGCCTTTTGTATGTCCGTGACAGTGAACCTGGCATGTGAGAGCTCGTCTCTTCAAATCCTTGCTGTTCCTGCCGAGGTCACAGGGTGACCTTGGAGCTGTGGAAGCCATGTTTACCAGAGACCCCTGTGTTCAGGCTATGGCTCGGTGGCTGCTTTCTTTCAACCACATGGTATAAGCATGTGAGAGGCGAGGCTCACGTTTTTAGTTTGGAAACTAGCTTAAAGAGAGATTTAAGAGTGACACAAGCAACAGTAGCAGTATTAGTAGCAGCTTATTAAGGCTAATTAAATGGTTATTTTATGCAGTTTGGTATATTTGTCCTGTGTCAATTTGTCAACCCCATGACAATGCCCCTCTTCCCTACTCTAATATCAGACTATCAGTACTAAGAGAATCATTATTATTTGTTGTACTTGTATTATTTATTTGAATTATTAATAACATATTATACATTCTGAATGTCTTTGAAGCACACTCTTTAAACAAGAATGAGCATCCTAGGTTGTCTAGGACTGCAACTAATGATTTGATACTGTTAATGAATTCTTTTTTTGATTAATCAATTAGTATGTAGACTATAAAATGTCAAAAAAGAATGAGAAATGCCCATCACAGCTTATCAAAGCAATATGTTTTATCTCAAGATTTCTTATTTAGTCTGATCATCAGCCTAAACCCCCAAAGTATTCTATTTATAATGGCGTTTTCGAAGCTTTTGAACCCAGCTAATGTACTCTTAATAACTGACCTGAATGTTAACTGATAATAATATCAAACTTGGTTAAATCTCAAAATCGATTAATCAGCTTGGTTATTATGTTATTTCCTGAAAAAAAAAATAATGATGGCGAGCCGCTGTTATAATGATAAACCTTTTAGCTTAAGTTTTACATCTTCCCAGCAAACAACTCGGCTTGTATCAATGTAGGAATAATTAAGCAAATGAACTAGAGTATGTGTTGAAATGACTTTCTTAAACGTGCATGATTTGGTGTATAATATAAGCTATCATATCTACACTGAGAATATAGATTAGCATATTTACAGCACATACAGCCTAGACTCTCTCTCTCTTGTCTTTCACTGTGCGCTGCTCTGTGTGTGTGTGTGTGTGTGTGTGTGTGTGTGTGTGTAAGTGAGTATATAACTGTTAAGTGTGTGTGTGTGTGTGTGTGTGTGTGTGTGTGTGTGTGTGTGTGTGTGTGTGTGTGTGTGTTAAGTGTGTGTGTGTGTGTGTGTGTGTGTGTGTGTGTGTGTGTGTGTGTGTGTGTGTGTGTGTGTGTGTGTGTGTGTGTGTGTGTGTGTGTGTGTGTGTGTGTGTGTGTGTGTGTGCACAGACTCGCAGCAGCCACCCTTGCCCCCACCCCTCTCATTAATATGTATGTGTTCTGAGGCAGCTAGCGAAGACGGTGTGTTTCTCACCCGCTGATTAATGCTGTCTGTCAATTACCTCTAGATCCAACCGTGCTGTGGAGCTTCCCCCAGGACCACACAGACCAGGTTGGAACACACTCTGCTTTTTCATTCTTCTCTCACTCTCTTCCTCTCTCTCCCTAAATATCTCTCTCTCTCTCTCTCTCTCTCTCTCTCTCTCTCTCTCTCTCTCTCTCTCTCTCTCTCTCTCGTTCACTGTTACAGACAACCTCTACCCACTCCTCCTCTCCCATCTTCCTTCCTTGCCTAATGCCCTCACTCACCCTGCCATCCTGTGGTAACCTCCCCCAACCCCTATCACCACCACCACCACCACCACCACCACCACCACCACTTTCCTCCTCATCCCTATCAGTGCTTCCTCTCCTTCTCCCTCTCCTCCTCCTCTTCTCTGTCTCTCTCTGTCTCATTGTACGTCTGTTGCTGGTAATGAAAAGCAGTGAGCAGGTCTTCAATAACCGACGAATCAGTAATTATCATGCAACCGTGACAGGAATGCACACCTCTGTTTCTCTCCCCCCCCCCCTCTCTCTCTCTCTCTCTCTCTCTCTCTCTCTCTCTCTCTCTCTCTCTCTCTCTTTCTTTCTATCTCTTGCTTTCTCGCTCATTGTGCTTCTGTGTCTGCTTCCTATTGTCTCACATTCATACAATTATTGGGTTCATTTTGAATCTGAAAGGAAATTCTGCCGCTGTTTTGCACACCATTTCCTTCCTTAACTAGTGGGAGTAAGTATTGCAGGGTTATATACACCTCAGTATCTCCCACTAGCCTGCATTGTTGAACAATTACAGGTTTGATGAACATGGTTTAAAGGATGATTCCAACAACGTATTCTTATTTTTGTAATCTTTGGTTATCAACTTTGTACTTATCTGGGGGCATTCCTGCAATAAAATCTGACAGGGTCGAGAAACAGCTGACAGACAAGCCAACAGTTTATTTTAAGATAAAACTGAACATAACTGTACCCAAAATGTCCACTATATTCCCTTATTGTGTGTGTGTGCACGACTGAGTACAGTAAGTCAAAGTTTAACCAAGAAATCTGCCTATAACCTGTAATGAATGTTTACAACGTACAGTTTGGGTAATGTTTTACAATTCTCCTTTGTTTTCTATAGGGATGCACTGATTTGATTTGGCAGACTGGTATCAAGGCTAGTACTGACATTATTAAGCAGATCAGATATCAGCCCTAAAATTTCTTTGTTAATGAGATAAGTATGTTGCAGTGTTTCATTGATCACTTACATTCATTTCGTCACGGTGGGCTGCTAGGTCAGTTGTTGCCAAAGCAATCCCTGGCCTCATGTTTCCTTGCATAAAAATGATCCCAATAGGTTTAACTCTTTGAGGTAGGCCTATACAGATTTTAACTTTAGGAAAAAGAGAGCACTGGTATTTGGGTCAGTACCTGGTATTGGTTGAAAGCCTAAAAAGTTAGATCGGTGCATCCCTGGTTTTCTCCTCCAATTAAATTTGGCTAACCCAGGGGTTTGTTCAAGCAGTCTGTTGTCTAAATGCTTATTGAAAATGTATTGCCCCATCTGACTTTTAAATGATGTCAGTGCAATTAACTTAGTGAGTACAATGTTTCTACGTCTGACAGAAATGATGGCCTACACTATGAAATAAGACCCAAGTTGTCATAAACCCAGATGATCTTTTCAGCCAATCACACGTTATCAGCTGTCTCAGGGGGACAACATGCACACACTAATGCAAAAAAAACCACGTGTTAATCTCTACTTTGTGCACATAATCAACTGTTCCAACATGTGATGACTCCATGACTCCTGCTCTGTGCTACTGTGGCTTCTCAGGCAGTGTGTGTGTTTGTGTGATGATTTGTACTGACAGTTAGTCTAAGAATGACAGAAGACAGTGATTTAAGATGGAAAAAAAAAAACAAGACATTCAACATATTGTTTCTGTTTTAAAAGTGGCCACAGCTCAAAACAGATCCTGGAGCAAATCATTGGACAGATGACTGCAGCAGCCCATCAGTGGACGGAAGGAAAAATGGACAACTTAAAAAATAAATAAATAAAACATTAGAGAAAAAGACAACAATATGTGCGTAGGCTAACTATCTCTCAACTCAGCAGCCCAGCTAGCGAGTTTAAACATCTCTCCTGCCTCTCTGATCCACTTTGAGGAATAAACGGGCTTGAAGAAAGATGCTTCAGGCGATGTCTGCCTGCCCCACAAGAACCAGAGCGTGCTATCAGAGTAAGAGGTAGAGGGAGTGAGGGAACGAGAGTGTGAGCAAGAAATTACTGACTTGCAGAGGTAGGCACGGGAAATGGAAGTGAGTGAAAAGGAGTCAAAAGAGCAGCAGAATCCAAGAGGGATCATATAAAAAAAATAAGTAAACATAGTGTATGTGTTGACATGGGCCTGTCTCATCCTTCCTTTCCAACAAGTCTCTCTTTTTAGCCCCCCCACAACCTTACTTTTCTTTCATTCTGTTGTCAACCAGATCGTTTGTGTGGATAAGATGGCCCTTAAGATGGCTAGTTAGCGTGCTGTGTACAGAGGGATTGGCCCTTTCCCCTATATACATAAAGGCTGTATTCACGGGCCTCATTACCAGGATTAGGGCTCCTTTCCTCCTTTGTGGGGCTGAAGGCTGGAGTCCTCTCTAGCCACAGTCTCTGTCTCTTTCTGTGGCCCGAGCTGGCCAGCATATGGCAGCAGCAGCCAACAGTCTCCACAGAGGGGCTCAGAGCTCAGAGCAAGGCCTCCTTTTGTTTAGGCCGTTATTGTTGCTCAACGTAATGACATTTGTAGGCCGTAGGATCGGGGTGGAGGGGTTAGTCTACCCCAGGGGAGAGGGGGAGAGAGAGAGAGAGACAGCAAGAGAGATGGAGAGGGATGGAAGGAGGGGGAGAGGCAAAGACATGTAGACAGACAGGAGTGTGGATTATGGAAATATGAATTGATTTTTTTTCTGTGCTGTGGTAGAATAGAAAGCTCAAAGGAGAACAGACTGCAGGCTGGCTGGCACGCCGGGGTGGTGCTGGGGAAATGTGAAGTGAGAGGCGCTTGCTCCCTCTTTCTCTTTCTCTTTCTCTTTCTCTCTCTCTCTCTTCTCTCTTTTTCTTTTTCCCTCCTGCTCCCCCTATTCCTCCCTCAGCCCCTGAGACTCTTGATGCCCTGGTCATCCGCAGATGCCACTTGGATAGAGAGGGAGAGATGGAAAGATGGAAAAGAGAGAGAGGGAGAGGGAGAGGGAGGGCAAGAGAGAGGTGGCTAAAGCATATATTTGAATCGCAAGAAGGGCTTTTTTTTTTTTGCAAATGAAGCAGACAGATGGAAATCTGTCCGTTTCCTCTCAGATCTCATCCCAAAGTTGTGGAAAAAACACAGCAGACACACACACACACACACACACACACACACACACACACACACACACACACACACACACACACACACACAGCATACAGAAAATGGGTTTGCCAGTTAATTCTAGCTAACCACAGTGCGGTGTATAAAAGGCCCACTCTGTAGAGAACAGAGGATAATATGATAAACACTCAGCGAGTTCCACAAACAGACAACCATTTGAAATCTTATAGAGACTGTGAGCAACTCCGCACTATTTAAAAAATGTTAAGTTACTCACACAGATGCACCCCTCTGCAAACTGCAGAACTTCCTTGGCCAATGCTACATGCAAACACTCTAACACTAGGATTTTCTTAATTATGTGGATGATTATCTTTTATTTTGTAATATACGTGTATTTGTCATAATCTCATCGTCATGCATTTGGCTCTCACAGCTGTTGGCCTACTATGGAATTAAATGGTTTCAGCAAACAAGTGTTCAGATCTAATTTAAATCCTAAACAATGTAGTCAAACCCTCAAGGATGAAGGTGCTGTAAAATAGCTCTCACTCTCACCTGTATCAGTACATATTCGACCCAATTTGGCGTTACCTTCCTCTGTGAGAGTGCATCTACTAGAGATCTGATACGTTTCAGAATTTATGCCTTGTCATTTGAACTCAGTTACTTATAAGTCAGCCATTTTTGTGACAAATCCACAGATCCTAGGCAAATATACAAGAGTGTCACCTTATTGAACAAGTTATATACAGCACTGTCAGAGGAAAAAATAGTAAAGAATTTAAATAGAGGGGGTGTGGCTACAAGCCTGGGAAACTCAGTGTGCTACTACCAATATTCTCTTACCTGGAGAGATATGTGTAGGAAAAATCAGATTTTCTTCTGTCTGTTTTTGTAACTCCTAAGCATAAATCTATATTAACTGGCACTCAGTACTCCTGCTGGAGGGAGTTTGGATCAATGCTGGTCGAACATGGCCACACATTGTACACACATTGTCGGTACATTTAGCTTTTTTGAGAGAAAGTAGGTTTAAGTACTGATGAAGTGTTTCTCTCTACATATTTTGGAGATATATCTAAGTGATATCTACCTCCTGAAGATTTTATGGGTGCTAGTAAAAAAAAAACTGTTTCCAAATGCTGGCTTTAGAGAACCCCCCCATGGGATTAAATGGGACTGTTATTCTTAGGAAATACACACTGATTACTCCACATTCTGCCAGTTTAGAGTTAGCTTTCTCACCCGCAGTTTACTTGCATATCATACTCGTACATTCACACACATGCACACACAGAGAGATAACTTTGTGTTTGCTTTCTTGGCATATCAGCGTTATGCGTCATTCTGGTTCAACCTCTCGGTGCTCCTCTTAATCTTTTCCTTATTTTTTACCCTGTGTCTCCAGTCCTGTCTATCCACCTTCATAACTCTCTTTGTGTCCATCTTTCTTTTTTGTTGGCGTTCCCCTCCATCACTTCTGTCCCTTTTGTATCTCTTGCTTCCTGCCGGTTCATCAACCTTCTCGTTTCCAAACACCTCGTCTCGTATTTCCCCTCAAAAGATGATGTTTCAGGAAATTGCAAATTACACATAAACCACTTTTTTTTCCTCCACCAGCCTTGTTGCACCATAATATCCAGAGAGAAATAAAGGCAATATTGAATTATGAATAGATTTTACTGCAAGGACTTCTCTCAGCTGCGAA